TTTCCGACTTTATTTTTATGGATGACTTGGAGTGTTACTCTCATGAGAAATCAGGTTTGGGAATGCCAGCCCACCAAGCACACATAAATATACCTGGAATGGCTACCATTTTTTTGTTGGTTCATATGTGGGGCTTGGGTAAGTTCATGTTCGGGGTACTCAGCTGCTAGGGAATATCGCAATGCAAAATTGCAACAGAAAGTGATATATGTATATAAACGCACATACATATTACATACATGCATGCATGCATACATAGATACATACATGCATACATACTTAGACGGACAGGCAGGCAGACAAACAGTCAAGCAAACATACATACATACATACATACTTATATACCTACATACATTACATTACATTACATTAAATTATATTACGTACATATATACATACATGCATGCATACATACATACATGCATGCATGCATGCATACATACATGCATACATACATGTAAACATGGAAAACATGCATGCATACACACATACATACATACATACATACATACATGCATGCATACATACATACATGCATGCATACATGCAGGCATACATGCATACATACATACATGCATGCATGCATGCATTCATGCACACATGCATACATGCACACATGCATACATACATGCATACATACATAGTATGTAATATATATATATAGATATAGATAGATAGATTTTTTATAATGAAATATTTATTTATACATACTGCAATGTGCATACACGGACATGGATGGGCATGCCGGACTGTGCATATGTTTGCACATGTGGACACATTTTGTTTCCACTCACAAGATATATGCCTTCATGTGTTGTGAGGCAAGAAGGTTTTCAAAAAAAATATGGCGCTCCAGCCATCACCACTACCATAGTCATCATTTTCATCACCACCACCATCAACATCATCACCATCCTCACCATCATCAACACTGTCACCGTCCTTGCCATCTACATTTTTCCCATCCGAGTCGCACCGGGAAAAAACATATAAGCCCCCTGCGATGTTATATGATCTTATATGAACAATAATCTCAGAAAATATACATATACCACCCCCGCTTTCCTTGTCCCTTATCAGGTTTTGGACCAGATCAAGACCGCGAGTGCAAAAACTACTCCAAAGCCATTTGCCATTCACGAGCAGTACATCCCCGAGGTCAAGGCCAGGAAGCTGGCTGCAGAGAGTGGTGATGGCGGAGAACTTGCTGAGCCTGCCGTGCCCAAACCATCTAAAAAGATTCCCCGAAAGAATGCCCCTAAAAATTCGTTGGAGGGGGATGGTGATGAGAAAAGGACTGGTGAATGGGAATATGGTAAGATTCGCACAAGCTGGGTTCGAGCAAAGATGAATGAAGGGTACACCCACAAAGAAGCCTCAAACTTGTGGGATGAAAGCAAGGAGAAGGCTACCTTACTGGCTCCGGTTTCACTTGGTGAACTCAAACGCCGCAAATTCTTGCCAAAGGGGTCGGACTCCAATCCATGGCAGAAGAAACTTCGTGGATTTGAAGAGTCCTCTTAGTTAATCCAAAATGGATTTCTTGGTACATAGCTCGGGACAGGGGGTGTCTACGTGCGAAAGCCTTTCGATATGAAGGGAAAACATTGAGACTGGAGCTATATTTGTTTGTGTTTTGCATCCGCAAAGCAATCTGAAATATATTTCCAACAATTTCTTGTTGAAAGCATTAGTGTTGTATTGGAATAGCCCGTTTAGACAACGTGCTTCTTGGCAGTGCCGGGTTTGGGTTCATACACCACGGTATTGGGTGAATAGCCACTTTGGACTTGCAATGGTGGTTCGTGGGCTTCTCCAATGGAAAGCACCGCCTATTCTGGTGCTGGTTGTCCTTTTGACACTATGGAGCCCTCAGTTGAAACACACCGTGGATCCTTGGTGGAACCGTTTTTCAAACAATGTCATCCAAAATCTTCGCTTAATTTGGACCGATACAATATGTATGAATTCGGAATCAATAAGTTTCATGTTTCCTTTTTGTCTACAGTCCTACATGTTACAAGTAGTGCAACCCAAACTTTCTGTCGCCACGGTGATCCCCCGAATGTTCGCCTAAGGACCGTGGATTTTGCGAAGTCTTCAGTGGGCAGGGTGAAGTAAGCAAGGCCCTGAGGGCGGTATCTTGGCGCAACCCCTAACGCTGTAACACCAATGTTTGGTTGCTACTCCAGGCAGCTAACCCTGGTACTTACCCACTGCTTTACTGAACATCTTTATCTGATATACATACATGTATGAAATTGTATTAATATATAAATATGATGGGGTTTGCATGCCATGGGGTGAGCTCCATCAACAGAGGGGAACCAACAATTGTTAAGGGTGACTGCACACAATGACTCATCGTGGGGCTAATATTTTTTCATGCCATGGTAACCACATGGGGTTCAATAACTCTAAATATCTCAGGAGCGAATACTATATGTGTAGATTCCTATTCCTGGGTCCATCGATACACAAAACATTAGTTTATTTTGGGAATGTTTCCATTATGTATGTCACCCCTCACCAGGCCTCAGCCATTCGCCCAACCAATGCCAAGGTGAACCTGCGTGGTTGCTCGATCGATGTGGACATTGATGCCCGTTGCTTTGATCTTTCATCCCCCTCTGGATTTGCGTTTCTTGAGCCGCATGAGTGCTGTTGGGTGGATGGGTATGTTGATTGCATTCCTCACGCTTGAGTAGATTACAAGGGGAATCCCAGCTGCCTAGGCTTACGCTGAATGAGATCATGAGATGCGAGCCTTGCTCAACGGTCTTAATGGCCCCATGCTGCAAAAGCTTCAGCCGTATGATGCTTGATGCCATTAGTAGAAGTTACTAGTGGGTATATTTGTTGGTCTTTTGTGGTCCCAAAATTCCCGTGATCATATTGTTTCGTGTTTGGGGTTAGGATGGGTCAGGGTGAACCAGCTTGGGGTTAGGATAGGTCTAGCTGAACCTGTTGAGGTCCATATATACCAGCGGCCGTAGCTTCCTAACTCCCCATGGGAACAGTGGATACTCTTTTGTGGAACTTGGAAATGTTCTCTCTGCGCGATGTGTATTACTAATCATCGTGTGCTGTTGGCGAAATTTGCGATGGATTCTGGAACAGCCGGAGGGATCATTTATGCCCGAAATGCCGCATTTCCAGTGGCTTTGGGGGGTTGTGGAGGCCCGGGGTACCCAAAATAGTGTTTCTTTTTCGACCTGACTGAACAAGTTATGAAAAACATATGATTGAGGTGGTCTGGTACATCCACATTATAATATATATCGATGATATGTGGTTCTCACCCATAATATATTGGAATGCAAGGTTTTGTTGCTTGGCAATCGGTCTCAAAATGGGAATAGGCCCACCCAAGTTTCTGAGAGATTAAAGTTACCCACATATAAGTTATATGTGTGAACCAATTATGTACTTTCACATTTTCGGGATAAATCCACCACCCCTGATCAGGCTTATGTCACTACCTTTTACATGGGGAAATTTTCAGGGGAAACGCCAAAGCGTCACAAGCTCTGGAGTAACGACTTTCAACTCCTGGAGTTGATCTTCGGCAAGGCTGGATACATGAGCAAGGTGGAACAAGAACGTTGCCCTGGTAAAACAACACGGAAATATACGGATCGTCATGGCAAGGTCCGTCACGTTGATATCAAGGACAGCCTACGGAATTCCCAGTAACGTATTGTTTTCTTAACAAACTTTCCCTTTTGCCAGCTTTCTATACATGGATGGCATCTCCCCCAAAATATTATTAGCAATCGGATGTCATGCCGCACAAGGCATTTCACCAAAGAGTTTGGGGAGTTCATCGCCCACCATGTTTCGAGCCGGTCACCAGTTCCTGGGCTACATGGTGTATGTATGTTTGTGTGTGTAGGCATGTGTTGATATAATTATTACGTCTAGCCCCTTGGGTACGAACAAGATGAAAATAACATCGTACTTACACAGATACTATTTTATATAATCTTGAAAAACCAAAAGGGCGTATGCAAGCACATGAGAATTTTGACCTTTCTGTTTCGAACATGCCTCCTCAGGTTTCGTTTCCTGGGCCCCGAGAACCTGTGGAACTTCCTGATGGTTTGTCCGATCTGGAGCTTTTCCAGGAAATCTGTATGCCTCTTCGCACTACCGATTTGTGGCACCATGTACAGGGGCTGCATTTTAGAAGTCATATAAAGCACCATACAACAGAACACTTTAGGGATAAAACTCCACTTCCCAGGCCCTTCGTGCTCACCGCATGGCCTCTCAGGCGAAGATGGCCGAAGTTGTGGGCTATCTCGGCCACAACAAGCACCTTGGTGCCAAGGGGCAATGGGCGCCCTGGCTTTACAATCAGCAGGGGCTATAGGTCGAGTTGGAGTTTATGTTTCACTCTGTTTCATTTTCATGTCAGGCCAAAAAACCATAGGAAAGGTTTTGGTTATCTGAGCATCTTAAGGTTGAAGTCCTGCGGGAGCTAAATTTGGGCTAAGTGATCGCAGAGCCCTACACAATGGTCGATGTGGATTTCCTACATGGCTTCCATGGCCACCAGAGCCATCCAATTGGGTTCCAGACCCGTTTTCATGTGCATTCGCTTTGCACCACATTCAGCCGCAAAAAATGTCCAAAAATTGCGAATTTGAGTTTTCCACAGAAAGCTGTCAAAACTTGTAGCGTGAAAAAGTGAGGAAACGGACGCGGAAAAACGCTTCTTGTACGCGAAAACACCGTGAAAAACGTGAAAACCAAACCAGCCATTTTTTGAAAGAATTCTGATCGTTTTCCACGTTTTTCATGTCCCTTTGCTCATTTTTCATGTCCCTTTCCTCACTTTTTCATGGTGTTCCGGTGGCTCAGATATTTTCACGCTGTTCCGGTGATTCAGAAACTTTCATGTTCTTCCGGGGTTTTCACGGCTCCCTATTTATTGGATCGATCAATGTGAAGGATCAAGCTGACGTTGTAGCCCAGCAGGCACGCACGCAGTACTGATGGCAAAAACCACGGCAGGTCAGGCGGCGGCTGTGAAGGCCGTCGCCAAAGTGGCGGCCAAATCAGTGGCAAAAAATAAGGCAAAGGCAAAGGCAGCTACGCTGTCTGCAGTTGCAAAGGCAGCAGCAAGAACCAGGGAGGCAGCCGACCCCCCCCAAGAACCTGCACCAGCAGCTTCGAAGACCCGAAAAGCCCCAGTTGACACTCCTTCCGTCCACCCTGCCAAGAAAGCCAAGGATTCACAGCCAGATTTTCCCATCACTTGGGAGAATTTTGAGAAGGTTAAGGCTCACTTCGGAATTTCCGATGATGAATGTGAGGCTGCGTTGGTGACCATTCTTGGACCCAACCCGGCTGGTCAGAAGTTTTGGCAAACTTTCAAAAAAAACCTTCTCAGCCCGAGCCCACCGACACCTTGCCGGATGCATCCAGCAAGGCTGCTGTAGAAGCTGAGGAACTAGTGGATGAGGATGAGGAATGTGCTGGAGGTGCTGAGGAAGGTGAGGAGGAAGGGGAAGAGGAATGGGAAGAGGATGGGGTCGATGCTGAGGATGAGGAGATGCCGGCTGACATAGGTCCTGCTGGGTGGGATGGTGGGTCGGATGAGGATCTGGATGGTGAGGGGATTGCCTGTTTGGGTGGTGGTGGTGGTGGGAAACCGGACTCACCTTCTCCACCTGTGTCTGTTGTGGAAGGGTCTGGTGGTGGCTCTGTGGCTGACATGCTTGAGACCTTGCCCTGTGAACCTGAGGAACCCGTTCGTTTGATGGTCCCAACTGAAGATCCCGCCAAGGATGCTAGGAAGGATTTGGAAAACGCCCTCAAGAACAGACCCACACCGGCCAAGAATGACAGCAAGCAGGCAAGGTATGGCAGATTTTTTTAAAACGTTCCTGTAAATGTAAAATGATTCTAGATATTGGGGTATGTAAAAAAAAGAAAATAAACAAGTCAAATTTAAACATGTTTCCACCAATATATAGGGCTTGATCCCTTCAGGTCGATCCAAAAGCTGCCCAGCTTCGTTCGTTGTTGCCCCTTGGGTGTATTGATATATTGTTTCGGATTATTTGGAATGCTCCCCTTAGCTGGTGTGGCAGCCAAAAGACTGGCCCAAGAAAAATATATTTTCTCAGAATCTCAAACCGGTTCCTTTCTCGAGGTCGTGCACTACGCTGCGCTTGGGTGCCCAGGCAATGTCTGCTCAGGCTTCTGTGGTGGATCCGGAGAAGTCCCCAAATGGAAAGTCCACGGTTTCCACGTTTCTTGACTTTAGCAAAAAGATGATTTCTTCATGCAACTCACATAGTGACATGTGATTTCCACATCTTAGCAGTTTCCACTTGAATCTTCGCCTAGCTAGGTTGGGCCCCCCGGCCAGTCAAGTGGATTTGGCTTCCGTGGATGACGACAAAATGACGGAGGTGGTGAAGGCTGTGACCTTCATTCAGTCAGTTATGCAAGAGCCTTGGGTTAAGAACCTTCTGTCTAGCCTTGGAGGTGGTGAAACGGATGATGCTGAAGCAGGGCGACCAGCCCCCTCAAGACCCAAGCCTGCTTTGACCATCCCCCCTGCTCCAGCTGCTTCGCCCGCTGAGACCCCAACGGTGGATCGCAAGTCTGAAAGCATGCCGCCTCCGCCTGTGCCCAAGGCTGCTGGAGGTGATGCTGGTGATGGTGGATCTCTTGAAGCCCCAGCAGAGGAAGTCATAAATTCATCTACACACCGCCAAGCGCACGCCCGTTTGGGGAGAAGAATGCAGTCTTTGGGGCCAGCTGACTGTCCACAGATGCAACAATTGTGGAACGGATCACGGAAGGATACACCCCATGTCAGTCATTGTTCAACCTTGTGGTCTGGTATATGTTTGAATTAGAAATCAAATGTCCAAAGCTTAAAAAAATCACATCAAATTGTTTCATATCCCTTGGGAGGACAAGCAGGAGCTGCTTCGCCAGTGGGTTCTCAAAGGAGAGAATCTGCAAGCAGTGGAAACCCAGCTTCAAGTCTCCCGAAGTCAAGAAGGAGAGTTGACCCGTGGACGAGAACTTTTGACTATCCGGGAGATGAGAGAGCGCAATTTCAGCCAGCACATTGGTCAAAAAATTAACATGATCCACATTCCATATCAGCAAATTCAAACTCCTTTCCGGAATTGCAATCTTGACGGTTTACCCATATAGTCATACAATCATTCTCCCCCACTGAAAGGTCCAAGATCGACTCCATCCTGCGCAAGCAGCAGGGTGTGCCCGATGAAGATGCACCCGACGATGTTGAGTCAGTGAGATTTTGGTGCACCACCGGCAGCCGTTACACTGACAGAGAGAAAATGAAAATTGAAATGACCGCCAATGCGACGGTGAACACTACCCCTGAGGCAATTGGCAGTTTGTTGGGTGAAAACTCCAGTGCAGCCCCGTTGGCCTTGACCAATGGAGCTTCTCCGTCCGCTGGCCCGGGTCACAGCCTTGAGTCGCTGCTCAGCTGTGCCAATCAAAGTTTGGCACCAGGAGGGGCAGGGGCTAAGGCCAAATCTAAGGCAAAAGCAAAGGCCAAGGCAAAATCTATGCCTGGTTCGCAGACTGAGAAAACCCCCGCAGAGAAACGTGAAGCTGCCCGTGCTTCGACTCACATTAGAAAAAAACGAGTTCATGGTAAACCCCATTGACAGACTAAAACATATGTCTTCTCTTCTAGTGTTTTGTCCTGCAGCTATTCCCATATTACCTCGTTAGGTCAGCAGCTCAAGAAGGAGTTGACAGCTTGCTCGATTGGCATGGAACTTCCACCGAACCATGCCCTTCGCAATCAGCTGGGTGATCAGAAGACTGAGTTTGAAAAGCTGTTTGAACAGTTATTCACCTGCAGTATGGCCCCCCCATCAACTTTCCAAAAGCTGCTTATACATTTTTTGAACATGGTGTCTACAAACTTCTTACAGGTATCCATTATTGAGGAATATTGTTGCCATGCCCTGTAATGCACGGTGCTAAGGCTGCGCACATGCGATGATGATACTTTGCCATCTGTGTTGACGACGTGTGCAGAGCAGGCCAGCAAGCCGTATGGTTTGTTAAGTATGGTGGTCATGCAGATATAGACCTGGATGTATACGTATATTCACCTGTACACATATATGTGTAACCACCCACGTGATGAAAAATGGTTTCACAAGTATACATATACACATAGCCAGGTTGATACCTGGATGGGTGAGTGAACGGAATGATGGTTGGATGAGTGGATTGGTGGATGGAAGGATGCATGGATGGCTTGATGGTTGAGCGGATGGACGGATGGGTGAACGGATGGATAAATAAAGACCAATCTATATCTGTGTATTTTACACATGTGTTGGATGTACATTTAACATTTGACCGAAAAGGGACAGAGAGATAGAGAAATAGGTAGACATGGGTAAACAGAAATGTAGAAGGATAGTTGAACACATGGAGAAGCTAGACATACCATGCATGTAAATATACTTCTATAAGCATATGTGGAATTATTTTCCAACTTAAGGAAAAAACTCTTCAGAAACATCATTATATGGACCTTCATATGCTCGGATCTGGCCCTGTCACCCGGCCATGCTCAGGTATCGGCGTGTCGCTTTGTTCGGGCACAGGCCCGCGCTGTGGTGCAGGAGTACAAGAAGGCGGCACAGGCTGATGGATCCTGAGGTGATTTCGTCAGAGACGTTTTCCCATTTGTATTTTCCCTTTGGGTTCGATTGGAACCGACACCATGGGAAGAGCAGGAGTGCTGCTTGTAACATGTGTCCATTCCAATACATCCCTTCTAACAAACAAATTTCACCTTGGCACTTATGAGTTTAAGATTTGTAGCTTTCGGTGCCCATCTAGGTAGCATTCCCGCCAATTTTGGAAGAATCGCATGGTACACTAGGGTACCTGAACCAACCTCAGAGAAGGTTGCGGCATGGAAAGTTTGGCCGTGTGAGCATTGCGGCTCTCACGCTGAAGGATTTGCATTTTCTCCCAGCGACAGCGGAAAAAAAGAACCAGATCAAAATCAGAACCATGACTGAATAATAAAACCAATACTACTGAAGGAATGCCCGACGCCCCAGGTACTATGGGCGATGTCCGGGCCACCGATCTCCGTCGAAGATTGGATGAAGTGTCCCTTATTTGAATCTGATGTTCGCTTTTTTCACCTGCTATGGATTTCCCAGCCCGTATTTCTCACCTCGGCCTAGGTTGGCCTATGGCATTGGCGCTGGCTATGCGAGCGTTCGTCACTCACAGCTGGTTGGTAGCGTTTACAATTCTGATCTCTTGTCGCGACTTTACTCAATTAATGGGGTTGGGGCTATACGGTTGATGTTTATGTTCTGCAGGTGGTCGCGTCCTCTACCCCGAAACTAGTAGCACCTTTAATTCCCAACACAAGAATCCCAGGTCCAGAGAAGAACGTGGTCTGTATGAACGAGCGGTGCGACAAGGTGTTGCTATGGATTGCACCATATCCTACCGAACTATCCCAATGAGAACGTCTGTAGATGATGCTACCATGACAATGGTCTCATGTCCCTTTCTCTTGCCACACGACTTTGAGACCTGGTTTATAAATTTTTCCATACCAGCAATGGCCGGTTCTATGTTTTTTACCCAAATTGGATGTCGACCCTGTAAAACTGTTGGGGACCAAAGCCACGCGAATTGCCCCCAGGCGCGAGCTCTCCTCCGTGAGGGGTACCTGCATGCCCTTGTGGAGAGGATGGAGGACCTGCCAAGCTACTGGGAGCACATGCTCCAAGACTTCCCTGATCACCCTCTTCAAGGTAATGAGCGGCAATGGAGTAGTTCTTTGGGATGCACTTTGTACTGTAACTTGTCACTTTACTAAAGCAATGTGGTTCAATTTCCAAGTCCCTTCAAAACCTGTGACCGTATAAGTCCTGTAAACTTTCTTGGGGTATCTTCGATGTGGGTAAGGTGATGAGATTGACTGCTTGAATGACAAATGGATGTTTCTACTTTGGACGTCGGATCATTCCCCGTACAAAACGAATTCCATGGCATCCCGTTGGCCGATTGCCATTTTGCCAGCCTCACTGTACAAAGTCGATGAGGACGACACCAACCTTACAATCCAGGCTGCCACCCGTGAAATTGCAGCTTCCTTTGCTCACCTAGCAACCCATGGAGTGAAGCTACGTGATCTAGAATCTATGGGTGGTGGAGTTGTCCTTTGGTTTTGTATTTCAGTACATGTTTAAACTGAGAAAAATCTGGCCAGGATCAATCTGTTAATCTTATATCTACCTATATATAAATATATTTAACCCCTTCAATATATATATATATATTCCTACCAAACATACAAAAGGAATATTTTGGGTTATGGCCTCTTCACAGGAAATGCGATGTACCACAACCAAAACATATAATACAATTTAATATAAGATAATAGAATAAAATAAAGATAATATAGTATATAATAATATATTATATATAATACATAATATATAATATTTAATATATAATATATTTTTTAATATAATAAAACACATATACATACACATATTTACATATACATATACATAAATACAAATATACAAATATACATGTAATAAACATGTTTTTCAAATATACGTATCTCTCAAGTTTTCACGTGGCTACACCCATGTTGTCGAGGTTGCCACACTCCGCTTCTGGGTGATGGGGTTTCGTGGTGACTGGAAAGCCCTACGTCAAGCCTTCAACTTCACCAGGCATTACGGAACAGATCAGGTCTGATCTTGAAAAAAAATACTTTCTTTTAGTTTCAGGCGTGCTTATCCTTTTTTTCATGATGTCCTGGATAATTGAAAACCCTTCAGATATGTTGGCTCTGCGCTGCTTCGAAAGGAGCAGCAGATATAAGCACAGTGTACACCGATCTTAGTGAAGAAGCTGGCTGGAGAAGTACCTATTTATTTGAAGCACCCTGGGAAAACACGCCGTCGTATGCCTCCCTGCCTGGCTTTGCCACGGCCATGATAGTAGGAGATCTCCTGCATGTCTTCAACCTGGGAGTTGGAAGAGATCTTGCAGGGCACCATCCTACGTACCATCCTTGGTGATCGGACCGTATTGCCAGGATCCACCCTTGAAGACCGAATGGAAGAAGCGTATGTATCTTTGAGGACCTACGCCAGAAACAACGGCCACAATCTTAAGTTGAACAAATTTACCCGAAACAGGCTCACCTGGAAAACTAACCGGTATCCAGAGTTGGTTGCTCAGGGCTCTGATGTGCATATTATTTGTACATGGCTGGAGACGGTTTTAAGCCAACATGCTGAACAGTATCAGCAATTCATGACGGTGTTGAGTGCATCCAATCGGGCCCTACGTTTGCTGTATTCAGCAGGGCCTTTCCCTACGCAAAGGGAAAAAGACACAGTTCGCGTGTTAGGCGAGTTGTTTGCTAAATCGTTTGTGCAACTTTCTGCGGAGGCCGTGGAAAACCATGCCCTCCTATGGAGATGCAGACCCAAGTTTCATGTTCTCACTGAATTTTTTTTGATGCGTCGCAGCATCAACCCTGTTTTGTACTCTACGTGGATGGATGAGGATTTTCTAAAGAAAATCAGCCATACCCTCCAATTAACAAGCAACCGAACAGCGCAAACGCGCATTTTGCAGAGATGGTTAATGGCCATCCCCGAACAACTCCACAGGGTCCGCCAACCCAACTGAAAAAAATCTGGGGCACCATGCATGCTTCCGGGCGGGACAGTCGGCACATGGCGGCACTCAAGAAATATCTTTTGGTTTGCTCAACAACAACAATGAATCTGAGATTTCGTTGTCTATATATTACACATATTATGTAATATATTCACCTTTCGTGTTCGTCGTTGGTTTGAAATATTAGTTATGAATACAGGGTTTCACGGACTACGCTGGGGCCAGCGCAGATGAGACGGGATTCCCAAAAAAAACGTGGGCATATGTTGTTTAAAAAGTCTACGTGAAAGTTCCGATGCAAGTCATCCCAGGATAGAATTTAACAAATTGTATTCCCCAGATTCCCACATTCAGAAATATATGTATGTATATATATCTCTCTCTCTCTCTCTCTCCCTCTATCGATAGACATATGTATATATATATATGATATATATATATATATAATCCCGATGGGATACATAGAATATGCCCGATTTCAACCCTACGGGTGTGGACAGAAAAAAAATACTTAGAATATTTGGGGTAGAAATATTTGGGGTAGAATTTTGGAGTGCATAAACAGTGCCAAAGCAAATACCATAGGAATAACGATGTTCCCATATCGAAAACATGTGTGAAACCCAGCAGATTGAACATTTTTTGGGTTCTGCGTAAGTTTTGGATCACGATTGCCAAATTTAAGGCAATCATTGTACCGACAAATGCACAAGCATCAAAGGAAAAAGAAAAGCAAGGTCAGGAACAGAAGAGAATACAAGCGAACACCCTCTTTGCATTAAAATGCGTGTACGTCACCAGTCGTGGGGGGTACCCTTCGGTGAGCCTGAAAAACTCATTTTTTTAATACAATATAAAAAGAAATTGGTCATTTCGGGGGACCTGTTTTTTTGTTGAAACGTTGTACTTTAGGAACTTCAGACATCCAGGGTTGCTACTTGCCAAAGGGAATTACGGATATGATATA